CACTTGTGACTGAGGTGATTAAGTCATCAGTTTACCTCTAGGTTTGTTCTGTGTGTGTTGGACCCCATCCCTCACTATTGGTGTAAAATCTGTAATGGGCTTGAAAAAAGACCTTCTTAGCACTACTATAGCCAGGAATAAACCATTAGAGGATACAGAGGCAAGCTGAAAAAATGCTGACTGGGATTTTTCTTTTTCAGCCAGCCCTAGGCCTATTAGCTACAGTCCATATGTAAAAAATGAACACTTGACTAAGGTGAGAAAGCTTAGATAGATAGGTTCTGCTCTTGGTGCCCTTAGGATAAAGATCCCAAAAAAGTTATAGCAGACTATGGCCCAAACTGTGATCAGTTATTTTCAAATTAGAAGCTACAAAATGCGTATTGTGAAGGGCCACTCTGCAGTAGCCCACATCCAAAAACCTCGAATAAAAGACCTTGTTTGCTATGAGCCGGGCATCAGTTCCTATGGGTAGCTTAAGGCATGATTTAGAATACGATTTTAAAATTTAATACGATATATTTCCCCTAATAAAAAAATTATTACAAGAAATACAACATATATTAAAATGAACAATTATTTATTGTGACCTGGTTACAATTTTTAATCATATTTTTAATTTATTTAACTTTATTGGGCTGCAATTTTTTCAAATTGCAGCCCAATAAAGATTAACCATTGAGTATTTGTCTCAGTGGATCAGTCCACTACAGATAGTAAGTGACTTTAAAAATACCATCATAGCATTTAAAAAAATTAATTACAAATTCTGATATCAATATCTATATGGTTAGAATTGCAGAAATTCTTAATAGTTTGTAAACCCTATATTAGCAAAGTGAGGCCAAAGTTTTCAACGCGAAAACATGAACATCAGACGTTCAGCACTGCCTTCCTGTAAGCCTAGAGGTTTGACAATGGCATTTGGAACGTTGAGCATGATTCCACTGATGTTCCATATGCCTTTGTCAAACTTCTAGGCTTACAGGAAGGTGGTACTGAACATCCAACATTCACATTTTTGCATTGAAAACTTTGGCCGCAATCTTGCTATTAAGTAGGTGGAAAAACTGCATAGTCCAAAATAAACAAATATGTGTAGTCTTTAACCAATATCCAGTGTGAAAATTCCAAACTAATATTGGCAAATGCTTTCGATGCCCCTCCTGGGCTCTTCTTCAGGCCAAATTTATTGTACTGGATTCTTAAATCGAATATTTTTAAATAAGAACGTGCTCTGTTACTAGAAGTTCAAATAAAGAAGGTAATCACGTGCCTTTCCAAATTATAATTTCCTTATAATTTATATTCGTGGAGATATGTTGTGCGCTTCTTATAATAATCTCGCGTATTTTTATAATCACATGCCGTTTCTAAAAATAATTTTAACTAGTGGATATATGATGTGCGCATCCCATAATAATCTGGTGTATCGTATAATAAATTACGATTCATCGTCCAATAAATACTGCCACACTGTTGAGAGATTCATTTCTTCTTTAAGATTGATGCGGGTTAATTTGCGATCTGCTTTGTAAATTTCCATTGCTTCCAAAGTTCTTAGATGTTCCTGATGACGAGTGGTGTGGATGACCCGTGCCTCATTAAAAATCGGGGTTATGTCTGGGTTTGTTGCATATGTCGACAATGCTGTCGTATATTTTTTGTGGGTGATGTCTGCTTTATGTTCCTTTATTCTAGTGACTAACGGACGTTTAGTGGATCCTATGTAAATTAGTTGCCTTTGCCATCTGTCATCCATTAAGCGATGACAGATGGCAAAGGCATATAAGATGAATTGTAATTTATTATACAATACAC